TGCTTTTTCTAATGCAGAGTTCATTTTTAAAAAGGCTGTTCTGCCTCCTTCTCACAAGATAACCGGTGATTAACAGTTCTGGCTCTGGAGAGCAATGCACAAGCAGGGCAAGAAGACACAACCTGTGTTTTCAAGACACAAATCTACACTTGCTCTGTCACCACAAAGAATCCTGACGTTATTATATTGCATAACTTTGTAATGCTGATCTAATTTGTTATACTGCAAATATGTATTTACATTACCTTGACTGTTTCCTTCATAAGATCAGCCACAATGTTTTGTGTTGCTCACTTGTAAGTAGCTACATTCACTGATCTGAAGTTTGCTGAGAACTTAGTTTACAAAGGACTTCAGAATTTAAAAGTCTATGGCATTAAATGCACCAATGGTTAATTAATTTAATTTTAAAGGCCAGAAATAAGAACCATTCAGATATACTGCAAATAGCTCTGCCCCTCCAAACTTCCCCTTGTTTACTTTCTCAAACTGAATGCAGAAGCAGTGCTAATATAGGTGTGCACACAGGGTAACAGCCAGGGATGAGAACAAACCCTGAACACTTCAGTCTGTCCTCAAGGATCCTGGAGGTGCATCTGGCCTCTGATTTCATCCCTCCAAATGGTTAACAGCATGTACCAGAATCTGCTGCTGTACTCACAGCGGTGTCCTCTGTGTTTATGATCTCAGGAAGAAAGCCACTTTTATGATGTCCTGTTTTTCAAACTTCACTCATACTCTTGAGCCTATTTGGTCTTGAGAATGACTGCATCTCTGACTGCCACTCCAACATTTCTTTCATTCAAAACGATCTATTCATCTGTATTCATAAACATGTCAATCTACTGGTTCAAAAAATCCAACCAACCCTTTAAGAACAAAAGAACAACAACAAAAACCTTCTCCTTAATCCACCTCCCTCATTAGCTAGGATTAAAAACCTTAGTCAAAATGATTGGCCTTGTGCCCAGAAAAGCTATGAGATCAATAATCCAAACAGACTTAATGATCCTCTTAGAAAAGAATAACTTTTGTCCTTCTTTGGAACGCTTAGAAGAAGTGATGGGAAATGCACAAGAAGTGTCACATCATCTGCATAAGTTAATTTATGTTATTTTGAAGTTCTACTGTTGGAGGAGGTCTTTGGGAAATAGTTTTTTTTTCCTTCTCTGTTAAATGACGTTTATTGTCTGCAAAAACAGTAATATGTAAAATCACAAACTGTATCAGTGATTAGCCTGTAAGAGCCTAAGAAGTTTCATTAACATTTCCAGTATCTCATTTCACTCATGAGCAGTTTAAAATTATTGTATTCCTATACAAGCTCAGTATTCTATAAGACTTTTTTTTTTTAGGCAATTTAACTTGTTGGTATCCTTATTTTGACATTACTAATTACAGCTTCAAACTTTTAATAAATGCGACTTTTATTTTACAAATTCAAGTGGTGGTGGGAAGAGAAAGAAACCCAAACTAACACCTACTGTATAGCACAAGGTGGTGTTATAAAAAGTCAGTGCATTTGACCAAAGCAGGGTTTAAACTCCACAGGGAATTCTTCTCTCATGGACAGGAAAAAAAAGTCTTGGAGTAGAGATGGGCAGATACTCAGCAGAGCATGGATGTTGTATGTGGGTGTGCAAGCTGCAGTCAGCCCAGCCTGACCATTTTCTGTGTGGGAATTAGCTGTTATCAGCACTCATTATCCATCCTCTCTACACTTCCTGGAAGAAAGCAGGCATATCTCTAGCCCAATTCACACCTTGTATTGTGAGCAGGAATAAATCCCCTTTGAATGGCCTGGTAGCTTTGCTATTTACTCTAGAGACGCCACACAACCAGTTTGAGTTTAAAATTTTAGTAGCTAATTTTGGCAAGATTAACTCATGCTGAAGACAGCTCACCAAAATGACAGCAGAGTGATGTGATGGCAGTGGTTTCAGCAAGCTCACCCATTTGCTCTTGCTCAGAAGAGCTGCTTGCATAGACACAGGTTATGCCACCTGCCCCAGGCTGGCACACGGGGAATCCTGCATGGAAACTGAAACCCTCTGTGATTTTAGGCTTCTGTTCTCTGCTCAGTGAGGGGAAGAGGGAACAGCTAAGCAGACTTTCCTCCAGCACAGCTCCCAGGAAAACTACTGGGCCCAGGTTTCTCATTTGGTACAGGGGTACTCAGCAATGGCAGGGCAGGAGGTGAGGACTGAGCTCAGGGTGGAGCAGGGACAGCAGCTCCCTTCAGAGCTGGAACAGGTCCTGCAGAGCTTGCTAGGGAAGGAATAGACAGCCTGTAAGGACAGAGGCAAGTGGGAAGATTGGGGCAGGCTGAGAGCTTCGGAAGCAGATAACAGAGGTGGGGTAGGAACTGATAATGCTGGAGGCCAAAAAGGTGAAATCTGATGGAAGACAGAGACTGCAGGAAGGAGGAGCACCAGGAGGGCACGTAGAGTGGCTCTGCAGCAGGCTTGAGGACACAAAGAACACTTTTTCTAAAAAGTGACATTTTTTCTGCCACTAGGGAGAAAAAGGGAAATATGTTGATAAACTTTATCTAATACTTACCCAGAAAGGTCTGACAAGAAAAAAAAAAAGGATTCATGCTTTGGAAGGGTTGCACTCCTCATTTTCACTAGAAAAACTGCATAGTTTGAACAGTGCTTCAGTCTGCACTGTTACTGTTTCTGTAAAGGTCATTAAGTTCACTTTCACAACAGAAAACTTATGAAGAAAGAAAACTATTTGCACCCCATTTTCCTGAGGGAATAAAAACAACTTTGCTAACCTGGTTACATAATTATCACAGTTCAACTTTTGAAACTCTGAAAGAAATTTTTTTTCAGACCCATTATCAAGCCACGACTCAGGCAAGCAGCTCTCCCCTAACAAGCAGCAGCTTCCAGGGCAGCACAGCTGAAGAAATGTGGAGACCTTCTCTACAGCAGCTGCCGACACACTTTCCCTGTTAAACAAATCTCTTTAAGTGTAACTGAAAAAAATCTTCTCTTTCACCTAGACGCTCTATGAAAAGAATTGCCTAAAAGATGTCAGCTGAAGGGTATAAAAACAAACCTAAAAGATCTACAGCAATAATAATTTTTTAGCTGGTACTGGTGATGCAAAATAAAATCTAGTCATTAAATAAATTCCACTAGGAAACCTAAGGAAATGTAAAGCAACAGCAAGCTCTGTAAAGTATGGCTGTGCCACCAAAGCAAACATCAAAGTACTGAGACTAAAGAACTAAACCCAAACAATGTAATGTTACTAAAAGAATCAATTCCCTATCTTTGTTGTTTGCCAACACTAGAACACTGAAAACACTTCTGTTGAAAAAAAATAGCTTTTTTTTCTGAGGGAAAAAACCTTTGTAATTGGTTCTTGCTCACTGGAGAATAATTAATAATAATATCCTAGCTGCTGCCAGATGTAACATGGTACTTGTTCTGCAGACAATACTAAATTTATACCTGGAAAGAGTTAATAACTTTAAAATAATACTTATACTTTTCTCAGTGTTTCAGTAATAAATGCTTTTAATTACCCAGGGGAAGGAGGCATAATAAGACAATCAGTACTGGAAGCTTTCAAGCAAGTACCTTGCTCAAAGATGGATGTAATTCCAGTCAAATTTTCCAAGTTCAACTAAAGTGATACCGTTTCACCTCCCTCTTGATGTGAGACCATTTTGAAGACTGATTCTTCAGTAGTTCATTGCAGCACTTCAATTTTAAACCTGATCTAATGAACAGCCATAGATGCTACAGATTCTAAACATAAAGAATTGACATGTTAGCATATTAATGTACTCAGATGTCACATAAATCATTAGAAGGCATTTTACTAAGTGACTCAGATATCTGGCAATACACATGCAAAGCCTCTTTAGCTCTTAAATATAAAGCAACTTCCTTTTGGCAAAGTCCTGATTAGAACAACATTGATTGTAGTTATTTATAGCTTAAATGCTATTGCTGACAATTTCTCCAAGTTGTAGATACTGTATTATTAACTATAGTAAAGCTCTAAAAATCAGTCAGCAGAGGCCACTTCAATCTCTGCATGATAATAAAGGATTATTATGTGCAGTAACCTATTTATGAAAAGGAAACAGTGTGCTTCTTTCAGACCCCATCAATTGCTTTAATAAGGAATTGAAAAGCCTGGCCTACTTTATATGCAGATCACCATCCCAGTTGCATAAGGATTTAGAACAGACAAAACAAAACTGTTTTTGTTGTAAATAAGGGCTGTTTGTTTAAATTGCACAATAATGTTTGCATCTAAAAATTATTTAGAAGCTAATAAGGTTTAATAAAGTTTGACTGTATACTTGTTAATAAAAATGGTTTCAATATTCTCCATGAAGGAAAAGCAAATTGAAGGTGATAACATAAAGCTTGAAGCAAAACAGGCCTGAGTTAATGGGAAAGGAGAAGACTCATTGCATTTGTTCACTGATGGGCTTAAGAAAACCAGTGCCGAGAATGGAATTCGGTTAACTTAAAACATTTCATAAAATTTAAGACAGTGAACTTAAAAGTAGTTTTCTCTAACAGATTAGAATTATTGCAGTCTTACTTCTGCTTTAGAGGCAAAAAGCACAGACATAGACACAATTCAGACTACCAAAAGTTAGTGGGATGCACATACTGATTTCAGTTGGAGGACTCTGGAGTCCCAGCTTCAAATTTTACCTTTGGCATTGGTTCATGTGCCTGTATGTTAATAAATTTAATGAAGTGTGGGATGACCCCTGCTGGTGCCCCTGCTTATGAAAAAAATATGTATCTGGCAAGAAGAAGACATGTTAATTTCAGTCCAAAAAGTTACAAATATAAACTCTGTCCCAAAATGTATAAAAATACCTAATCCAATGCATAAAATATTATGAGTAATGTTCTGTTAAGTATGAAAATAATCTTAAGCCATTGAACATTACTGTGTTAGAGCTGCAATGCAATGTATTAAGAAGGACATTAATTGTTCAGTTCACTATGACATTGTGTTAAACATCTTTTATTAATGAGCTGTTATTCCCGGCTGAGGCATTTGATAACCTCTAGTCCATTGCTAAATCCTCTCAGTTGATTTCTGTGAGTCACTCTAAACAAACCTAGAGGGAAAAAACACCCCAATAATTTACATTTGAGTCTGTAAAGTCCTAGAACTAGAGTCATTTAAAGAAGGGCAGCTTTCCTATAAATCAAACCTTCTGATTTAATGCAGCTGACATATAGATCTATTTTACAACTTTTTTTTTTAATTTCAAAAATACAACACATTAAAATAGGTTCAATTTATCAAAGCTAAGAGCAACAATTAAGTAATAATGTACTTAAAGTGCAAAGGCACTTTAACACAAAAAAGTGACGCCCAGTGGCTATAGTTGGTAATTGAAACAGCAGTACTGTATATTATTATTTACAAAAGAAAGTCATAGTCCAGGAAAAAAAGATCTTTGGAGATCTTCTACATAATACATTAAGTTTCCATTTTGAAATGAAAAGGAAAAAAAAAAACCAAAAAACAGAAACCCCGAAGACTCCTTCCTCATTTCCTTCAAAATCAAAAAAAAAAAAAATGCAAGATCTATTACAGAAAGATACATTTGCAATGACAGTTCCTAGAGAAGGGTCAAAAGGAGAGAGATATAGAAATAACTTAAAGGGACGTTGTAAAAGCAACACCACATCCCTGCTATGCTGCAAGGGTTCCTTTTCTCTCTCACTCCTTCTCTGATTTAAGAAAGTGGAAATGTTGGGAATGCGACAGATGACATCAGTACTGAGTTCAGACTCAAAGAAATATGATGCTGAGCTCATTTAAAAAATTTTCTTTTGTCTCCCACCTCCCCCCTCACAGCTGACTGATTGCAGTTTGTTTTTCCAGAACTTCGAGGTAGTCTGGTTCTGTTTGTAGTTTTCCTTGGAGTAAAGGATGCTCAGGTTTAGACTGTTCTGCAAAATATTTCCTGGGAGTTCCATATAAAACAGTTTTATTTATCCTGTCCTGGTTTTGGCGTCTGGATTCATATGAAGGGGCAAACTGCCTTTTGGGTAAGGTACAAAAGTTATAATGAACTAATCCTCCGGTGGGGAGTTCCTTGACCCTTTCTGCAATATTTTGATACAGGAGCTCTGGTTCCCTTGGTGAGGACTGCTTTTCCAGCAATTCAGCTGCACTGATGGTAAATGCAAGACTGGTGGGGTCTTCTTTTTTGTGGTCAAGACTGCTATAGCTAAACTCATGGAGATTCCTGTAATAGGCAACTGGATCCCCTTCCTTTTGCATGTAGATTGGGTTTTGGCACATCTGTCCAACAGGAGGGGGAATGTAGTTATAAACATGTCCTTCAGTTTTATCGTGGGTCTCAGTGTTGTAAGACCCATACTGGAGCTGAAATGAACTTATATCTACATTGTTGGCACTGCTGGGCATGCTCTGCACCCCCTTCCGGCGCTTAAGGACAAAGACAAACAGACCTGCCCCAAAACAAACAGACAAGATAAACACAACCAGCAAGCCTAAAATTAGGACAGACAGCGGAACTTCGGTGTGTAATTCTGGGTAGGAGCTGGGTGAGGCACCGACATGGGGGGTATCGGTGTTCTGGTTCATGGAGAGGACAGAAGAATCTGACAAGTTGGGGTTCTCTGGGCAGATGGCTTCTTTGCTCAGGAATTTCAGATGCTCTCCAGAGTGCTTGGTGGGAGACTCACAGATTACTTCATTGATAACTACAGGGGGACTTGACTGCTGGTTGTTCTGGTCAGTGACTTTCTCTATCCAGTTCCTCAGCCCCAGGATGTCACACGTGCAGTCCCAAGGGTTCTCTTGGAGGTCTATCTGAATCAGAGCCGAGAGCTGGTCCAAGACTCCTCTCACAGGCAGGTATGAGAAATGGTTGTTCCTAAGGTTGAGCCTGGTGAGGGAAGTGCCTCCAAAGACATTATCAGGCAAGGATCTGAGCAGGTTGTTATTGAGGAACAACAGATGAAGATTACTCAGAGCATCAAATGTGCGTGGCAGGATCTCCTTAATGACGTTGTACTCTAGGTAGAGATATTGCAGGTTGTGCAGCCCTTCAAACATGGATCGGTACAGAACCTCAAGGTAGTTGCCATTAAGGTAAAGTCTGCGTAAACTTGTGAGGTTTGTAAAGGCACCTTCTTGTATCACTGCAATTCTGTTATTTCCTAGATGTAGCAAATCCAGAGAGCTGTACTCTGTGAGATCGGTTCTATAAATGACTTGCAGATAGTTACTGGTAAGGTAAAGTTTCTTTGGACTGGTTGGCCTGGGGTGCAGATCAGAGATGTTACTTATCTTCTTCTCTTGGCAGTTAACATTTAGGCCATTGTCTGAGCTCTGGGACGTACAGATGCAGCCAGCTGGGCAGGTGATGGGCACAGGAGACTTTGTCTGGTAAACCATGATAGGTCCAAATATTTGCCTGTCTTTTGACACAGAGACACGGGGGGTGGGGCGGTTCCTAGTTTTGGGTGGCCGGCTGGCTTTTGGGGCCCTGGTGGGATTGATGGCAGAGTTGGCTGTGGGTGACAGCCTCGAGATGTGTGGGTCTGAGAGGACAGGGTGTTTTTCCCTCTGGTTTGAATCGCTGGAGCTTTTTCTAGGGCAGAGGTCTTGCCTGGTGAGCTGGGTCACATCTTTCCCATGAAGCCTGAAGGGGGTTTCACAGACTATTTCACCCACAAACACGGTGATGGTGTCTAGCCAGGCCTTGAGTGGCAGCAAGTCGCAGGTGCAGTTCCAAGGGTTTTCCTCCAGCTGGATTTCCATGATGCCTCCAATGTGCTCCAGCACACCAGCAAAAGGCATCATCTTCAGCCGGTTCCCCCGCAGGTCGAGGTGAGTGAGGAGCACAAAGCGGAAGACATTGCTGGGCAGGGACAGCAGGAGGTTGTCATTGAGGATCAGCACCTTGAGCTTGTTCAGCTTGCTGAATGCCCCCGCTTCAATGGCACTGATGTAATTGTAATCGGCCTGCAGGTACTCCAGACTCTCCAAGCCCAGGAAGGTGTCTTCCTTCAGCACTTCCAGCTTGTTGTTGTTGAGGTGCAGCCTTTTGAGGGTGCGGAGGCCGCTGAAGGCCCCCGTGCGGATCTCCTGCATGTCGTTGTTGCCCAGGTGCAGGGTCACGGCGTTGGAGTAGTTGACGAACTCATTGGGGAACAGGCGGGTCAGTGCGTTCCCATTGAGAAACAGCTGGTAGATCTTGGACGGGGGCGGCAGGAGGAGGCTGACGGTTGTAAATCCCTTGTTTTCACAATTAATGTTCAGCACGTTCTCCTTCTCCTCGCAAGGGCAGCGGCTCTTGCTGCAAATGTCTTTGGCAGGTTTGCGACTCTCTGTCCACGAGATCCCAGCCACTGTTAACAAACTGAGCAACCAAGCACCCTTCAGCATCTTTATGCGCCGTCGATCCCCGCTTTGGTACCTACAGTCAAACCTTTTGAGACAGGTAAGGAGAGAAAGAAGAAATCCCCAGTGAACACTGCCGGGAGCAGGGGCTGCACGGGGAGAGCGAAAGCAGGTCGGAAGGCTGGGGGGGAAGGGGAGCTGCAAGGCAGCGACTTCCAAACTCCTCTGGAATCCCCCCCTCCTCCTCCCTTCTTTTCCTCTCGGAAAGCGCCTGCGGAGCCGCTGCGGGGGAAGCCCCGTCGGGGAGCTCCCCAAACCCGGGTCCCTAGCGCTGGGCTCTCTGCCCGATCCCCCGCCCGTCGCGGCCGCCGCCTCCGCCCCGGCGGCCGCCGGCAGCACGATCCCGTCCCCGCTGCCCGTCCCACGGCCACGGCGCTCCCGGCTGCCCGGCTCCCGGCGCCTGCCAGCATCTTACACCGGGGAACACGCGGACTGCCAGCATCTTACACCGGGGAACACGCGGACTGCCAGCATCTTAAACCGGGGACCACGCGGACTGCCAGCACGCCCTCCCCGCCGCAGCGGCGCCCCCAGCCCGCGCTCCCCGCGCCGCCCCCGCGCTCGTACCTGCTCTCGGGGCGCCCGAGGGGGCAGTGGGGGCAGTGCCCGCCGCCGAGAGCCGCCGCGCCCCGGGAGCCAGGCGCCCGGCGGCGAGCGGCATCGCCCGCTCACGCCTCAGCAGGAGCCCAGCGGGGCGCCGCCGTCCCGTCCCGTCCCGGCCGGGCCCGTCCCGGCCGCGGCTGTGCGGGAAGTTGGGCCGGGCGGGGGCCGAGAGCGGCGGCGCTGCGGGAGCGCGGCGCGGAGCGCGGGCAGTGCGCGGGGCGCGGCGCGGCGCGGCGCTTTTGCCGGGTGCCCCGCGCGGAGCCGCGCTGACGTCAGCCGGGGGCGGGGGGGACACGTTTTTCCCAGCCCCCCTGTCCCAGTCCCCGTCCCCCCCTTCCCTCGGTGGCTCTCGCAGCCGGCTCCGCTCCCGGCTCGGCCGCTCTTCGCGGGAGCGCTCTGACAGCACCTGCAGGACAGCGCGGGCACTCGGAGCCGGGAAGGGGAATAAGGTAACGAGCGGATTTACCTGGGTCCGGAGAATTTTTGGCCCCGAGTCCCTGAATCCGTGCCCTCAAAATAGAGAGCAAGTCAAGCAGCTCCTTTGGCAAAAGCCAGCCGGCAGGCGCGCACGCACCGCACACACACGCACACCGCACAGGGACACACGCACAGCCCGCACACATCCTCCGCACACGCCGCACAGACGCGCACATCACACATCACACATCACACACATGCACAATCTGGCTCTCCGAGCAGCGGTGCTGCGAATCCTGATCTGGCATCAGCATCGATCCCCCGCTCCGGCTGGAGTAGCCAGCCCCCTTCCCAAACTGCCGTGCCGAGCTCTGCCCAGCACATTGGTGTTCTACACGTTCAGGCAAGTTCAACACCTTCCACCAAACCGGGCTGCCAGGCAGCGGCAGTCCCAAGCCTGAATCCCTGCACCCTCTGGAACGCTGCCCCGAGTACTGAGCAGGCAGATTTAACCACATCTAACACCATCATCCCCACTGGCTGGATGAGCCCCACTGCCCCATTGAAATGTTGTGGTGTAGCGTTTGGCTGCCTTTAAAAAGAGCAAGATGTTGGATCTGGGTTATTGTGACTTTGCTTAAGCTCCATGCCCTGGGCACAGATCTGTGTGATGGGAAAGGATGGCTGCTCTTGGTTTCTATCTAAAGGTAAAACTTTGGGTTCACACTGCGGGGAGGGGACAAAAAGGCACTCTACAGGGAATTTTTAAAGTGTTAGCAGGGCAGGGTGCATTATTGCCAGATTCTTATAGGGTATTATATGCACTTAGTCTCTAGAATGTAAAGGTTTGCTGCCAAAAGAGTTCTGAAATTGGCAAAAGTGGTACTGTCATCTCGTGGTATTCTTTAGCCATTATGTATCAGAGCCCACATTTTAGGAGCAGCAGAAATGTACTGTCTATTTTTATCTCTTCTTGAGGCTGGAAAAGGTAGCATCCTGCAGCAGCCAGCACAGATGCCTTTGCAGTGCTCCTGGACAGGAATAGTGCTGGAGTTTGCGTTTGGGATTGAAACAGTTGCAGCTTCCCTATCTAAAATTTGGAAAGGTTGTGACAAGAGCAGGAGCATCCCACACTGGAGCACGCTTTTGGTGTGGTGCTCTGTGAATTTCAACAAGACTGGGATTCTGAAATGCACTTAGAGCTGCTCCATTCTGACTCTCTTGATCCAGCTGAATTCAGGAGCAAAAATTGCTAAGATCAGGAAAGATCTGTGTGGCAGATCTGCTGTTTTACAACACTAATACACCAGCAGCCAGATTATTATTCTGTGAGATTTTTTACTTGTTTTCTGCTCTAAACATGAGGATATGGTGTTGGGGAGCAAAACTGGACTAGTTACAGGCTGTAGCAAATCCTGTTTTCATCTCTTTCTAACACAGTCTGGGGGCATGAGCCTAAAAAGAGAAGGTAAAAGGAGACCCAGGTTGATTTTTTTTGTTGTTTTTATTTTCAGAAGGGAGCATATTCATACACACCTGACCCACACAGAGGCACACAGAGGCTCCTGTAACCTCCCTCCATCACATCTCACCCGAGCAGCCCAGCACAGCACTGCCAGCTCTCACAGGGCTCACTCCAACACAGCAAAAATGAAGGCACAAGTAACTCCAGTGCAATTTTCCCTTGCCTCAGAGTGTACATTTGTTTTATGTCCAGGAGTTTCAGCCAGGTGCAGCTTTCTGGTGAGCAAGGACCATGTCCTGGAATTGGCTTATGAGGCAACATGCACTGTCCCACTTGCTTGTGTTTACTGATAGGTGGGAAATGTGTTTGTGGCACTGCTGCTGCTGCCTGGGAAGGGAGAGTGTACACATGGCATGCCTCAGCAGTAATTACCAGATTCATGTGGGATGGAAGGAACAGCATGTTAGGGGATTGCAACAGCAATAAGACACAGAGATGATACTGATTCTATTACACTGCAAATGCATGCATATAATAACCATGGTTGTAGGAGGAGGAACAAGGATTAAAAAAAAAATAATAGCTTCAGCTTTTTATTTAGGAACAAAGTCCTGATTTCTCAGCATGCCTGAAGTGTTTTATAATCCCTTCAATTAAAAACAGAGTATAAAAGAACAGCTTTTTTCCTCCACCTGTTTTAAGGCCTTTTTATTTTATATGTTGAATGGAGGAATATTTCCAGTTTGTGACTATCTGGGAGCTTCCAGGGATAAAAGGCCAGGAGGCAGGTTGGTACAGCAGCCCATGAGGGCTTGGGGAAACTCAAGGTTATGCCTGATTTGTAAGCATTGTGGAGGTCCCAAATATTTAGCTGTGCTCCCTCAATGCTCCTTTTTGTGCAGAGTCATGAAGACTCAGTACAGATGCATAGATTATGAGACTTAATAGAACCATTGTGGCTTTTGAATCTTGCATAACCCAAGCCATCAGCTAAATTTGAATTAATTCCTGTTCAAACTAGATCATACTTCATAGGAAAAAGAAAAAAAATGAAACCCAATAACATAGCCAGGCATATTTTAGCAATTGCCTATGGTGAAAATCTGCCGTTGTGTTCGGTAAATTGTTCCAATAGGTTTCATCCCCCACAGGTAAAAGACTGGGCTTTCTCTACAACTCTGCATCTAGCTGTCTTCAGTTGGAAATGTTTATCCTTGTAATATCCTTGTCTGCTGGCTTAAGAGCCCTTAATTATCCCCTACCTGTTTCCCATGGGGACACTCCCAGACAGCTGCAGAGCAAGTATGAACTGAATACTTGCCTGGTGCCAGCCTTAACCTGCTTCACATGGTCTGTCAGTCCTGTGCTCTTCCATACACCAGTGCAGCTCTTGGCTCCTGCACAGTCCTGAAGCCACCACTTTATCTGTCTGCTGGCAGGGGAAAAAAAAGCCAGACCACAGCATGAAGCATAAGCACATAAAATTTGGCACAGATCATTACCCTTCCTGCCTAGTGCACATCATGCTGTTGTCCTTCTGGGAGAGTAAATATCAAGGAGAAGAAAAAGTCGGGAAAAATGTGGAGATAATTTTCTTTCTTCACATTGTATCTGCAGGTGGATGCTAAACACTACTTACACATCTTTACCTATCAGTTTTTCTGGCTTTGCTTCTCTGTATATAAGTGAAGGAATAAACATATCCACCAAGTCCTATGGAATAAAGAAATAAAGGCAGCAAGAAACAAAGCAAAAACTCTGTGAGTTGGATGGAGGGTAGGATATAAGTTTTACTGGTCATTAGAAACTATTAAGGTAGCCTGGATGCTGCTGGCAAGTAAAGAAGTGTTTATTCATATAGTATAAGTAGAAGCCAATATTGATTTCTGTGGACACAACATGATTGGTGATGCAGTAAGACAATGGGAATTTGTAAATGTAGGTATTTGCTGATCTCGTGTTCCTCATCCTGTAATCCTGAACTGCATATGAGATGCCTACTCCATGTAAGCTTTTAGGGTTCTGAGATAATCATCACTGCTCTCCAACAAGTATCTTGTATTCTTGCTTTCTCTGTGCATATGTGTGTTTCCTTGTAGCTGCAGATATTCTACTTCCATAATTATGTACATTTTTGTGGTCTTTCCTATACTGTAAAGTGAATTTTTGAGCATCATTTAAAAGGAATTCTTAAGGAAATCAACAGTTCCCAGATTTAGCAGTGAACAGTATGCAAAATAATTGTTACTTGTGATCCACAGTTTCATCTCATCCAGCAGCACTGGGAAGTGCTGTAAAGGACAGGATGAAAGAGTCTCTGGCTTCCCCTTTCTTTGGGCCAGGAATGAGCAGGGGATGGTGAAGGAGGGTGAGCATGAGAGGCAGGGAGGAAGGAGAGGCAGGGGGGCAGCCTGTGCCCTCCTGGCCCTGTGTCCATCCTGGGCTGCCCAGCCACAGCCACACGTGCCGAGAGAGGCAGAGGAGGGAACCTTTGGGATGA